TTTTGTTTTGAAAACATGTGCAGTTGCAGTCATGTTTGTCCACAACGAAGTACCTTTCACCTTCTTCGAATACTACGTATGCTTCTGTGTAATCGATGACATTCATTTCTGGATGCCTCCTGATGCTTTTGTAAAGTGAGTAGGCGGCATAGCTTGTAAGCTGCCTCAAAATGCTAGAAAGGCCTTCGTCCACCTAAAAAATTTCAAGTTACAACTATTGCACTTACATTAAAATGAATGTAGTAATGGAGGTTGCGATTTCCTTCTATAGCCTTTCTTCTTGATGACTCTATGGAACACTTCCATATCTCATGAATGCTCAATTCTAAGGGGAAGCACTTGCTTAGATGTGTCTTCAGGTGTTTATGGCAGCACTCAACTCTGTTATTTGTTTTGTTGCCAAGAGTGACAACGTCTTTCATATAACAGGCTGCCCACATATCACGACAACTCCATAAGTTGTTATTCATGTATGACATGGCCGCAGGATACTCCAACCGTAATAAATTCATTAGCTCACTAAACCTAGAGATGTGTTAACACAATCACTTAGTTACCTGCCGTTACTCGTTGTGTACACCATCTCTTTAAACATCTTTTTACAATTAGGATCACGGAACTTCAGGACGTTAGGTCATTAGTAATGTCGCTTACTTTGTTATTGAAGGCCCGGATGACATGAAATGCACATAATATGATGGAGCAGGCAGGGACCTCATTACGAATTGCACCTTGCTCTGCATGACTGTTGTCAATTACAAACGTGACAGTCTGCGATGTATCACCCATGATATTCTTAAAGGACCGTAATACTGCTTCAACGTCAACAAGTCTTTCACGATGAGTTATACTGTACATGACTGGGCAACTTCTGTTCATACCGTCTGTAACGACCAGTTGATATAGAGGATGACTGCAAGAGATTCGTTTAACATAAAAATATTACCCTTCCTTATTCGTATTGTAGGTTGAATCCATGCCAACAACCTCTGGAAATTTCTCATACACACTTATCATTTCCCTTGTTGCGAAACAAAACTTTTCCACACGTCGTCGACTGTCCAGCACGCACCATACTGAACCTGTGTCACGAATTTCACGGATCAGTGTGTCAATGTCTCACATTCCTATGCATACTGTTAACGCAATATGATAACTTACTAGGGTACACTAGTTCTCGGAAATTCCGATAATCATCGTAAGTCATCAGCTTGCCAAACTCAACATCAACCATATTCATTACTTGAGCAGGGGGGGGCGTTTCTTTCGACAAGAGGTAATATTTTCCTTTTTTCTTCTGAATTAAGTCTCCGAACTGTCGGCTCAACAGACAATAGAAGTTCTCTTGTCAATGCATGGTTGTGTCGAATATTGACAGGTTCGACCACTTTATATAGTCCAAATTCCAGCTTAAATCTGAAATTTGATGGACACCCTATGTACTTAGATCTTAAATATAAAGCTTAGGTAATTCACAGTACTCACTGTGATATTCTCAGGTGCTTGCTTTCTGATCGTCGACATCGACCAACATGACATAAAAATGAAACATACAAGTACTTGTAATCTGGATCAACCTCGTTATTTTCATCACGAGGAACCCGAGAGTCACGTATTTTATACAAGCTGCCGGTTCGCTACAATTAATAATGACAGGCCATTACTACAACTTGCATAAACCTATCACCTCTTGAAAACGACGTATACATTCTTCACATGCCTTCCAAGTCCTTAGAGTTTGGAAGCGAACTAATTCATTGAATTCAGTGGTTAAATCAACTGATATTTCATTAATTCCCTCTACCATGACTAATATGCATTACCAGTTATTCTAAAGAACAATTGAAATCACCTTAAAAAAACAAACAAAACAGCCAATAATGTTTGCAAAATCCGCTACTAAGTCTTCTAGGTGATATCAAACAGACCAATCACAAGCTAGTAAATCACTTGTTTATCTCACTCGCGGGCACTCAAAATTACGGCCGTCGACAGGCTGTCTTATTTGTTTATCTTTCTGTTGATAAACACAAACGTCAATAGCGTGCGTGAGGGGAGAACAAACCGACCCACGATTGAAAATGTTATTGATTAAACAAACAGCGATGATTTTGCACAAACCACTCTGAAAATGAAGATAAACTCACTGACTGACTGACTGTATGGCAAATTAGTGAAGACAATGACACAAATATTATGCCTATGCAACTACGTGATTGAATAGTTAATTTGTTGTTAATTGTACGTGTTCTACTCACAAGATTTATAAGTAGTATATAGATGATGATATAAATATGTATATCAATTGCGGGATTATTGAATATCAGAGTGATAGATGGATGAATTTATTGGCGACGAGGAGAAATGCTTGGAGGATTCTCATGAAACAACACATGAAATGAAGACAAACTGAGCACAACACGGAAGACATGTGAAAACTGTCATCCTTATATATGATAGATATTGCGACTGTAAGAACAGTACTTGTGTACTGTGTTCGAGTATAATTCCACTATGGATAAAAAAATTTATTTTGATAAAGCCACACAGTGTTGTTATACAGTAATATTTAATGATGACCACTTATCGAGCACAATTTAATCGTCTCAAGGCACTGCTCACACACAACTTTCTTGTTTGGTTTTTATACATGAGTAAAAGTTGATGATTAAACATTTGAGTAAAATCAATATAAGACTTTCGTGAAGGCTGTCTATTATCACCGATAAGATTCTTAATTGTATTGGACTGGACTATGCGTCAGACTGTTGAGGGCGAGGAATTAGGAATACGCTGGACCGTTCATAAGAAGACTCTAGAAGACATGCATTTCGCAGATGATGTATGCGTAATTGATATGTATCCACATGATGTGTGTTTTATTTTTGACAGTCTATTATATTTTGCTATGTGTATATGGATCGATATTTCATTATAACTGACAATATGCTTTTGTCTGTCCACTAACTAAATAAACATGTACAACCAATCATGTTATTATTATTATATTATTATTATTGTATCCTTTAGTTCCTAGAGGAACATAGGGCTTCAGCTGAGCACCTCCATTGCCTTCGGTTTTCTGACAACTTTTTCACCCTGCTCCAGGTCTGTCCACATGCTTTCATCTCTTCCTCGCATGACCTCCTCCAAGTCACCCTTGCACTGACGACCAACTCGCCGCCTCCCTTTCGGGTTCCACTCGAGCTATGGCTTGTCTAGTGATGTCACTTGATGGTTTCCTCAGCGTATGGCCAATCCATCTCCATTTCTTCCTGCCTATTTGTTTCACAATCGGTTCCTGATTGGTTCGCTCCCAGAGATCCCTGTTGCTGATCTTTTCTGGCCGGCCATCTGATCTTGAGTATTGAGCGGAGACAACTGTTAATGAAGGTGTGAAGTTTGTTTGAGATGCTCTTTATGACGCACTGGCCAAGTCTCTGATCCGTATAGTGAGTAGCACTGACTGACTTCACATTGGAGTTGAAAATCCGGATGTTATTTTTGATGCTGAGTGCTGTTGACCTCCACACAGATTTGAGAGTAATGAAAGCTTGTCTTGCTTTTCCGATTCTGGCTTTGATGTCCTCGTCAGTTCCGCTCCGTAGTTGAGACGATGCTTCCCAGGTAGGTGAAGGAGGTTGTTTCTTTCAGGTTCTTCCCACTTATGCTGATTGTTGTCTGTTGTTGTTGCTGCTGTTGATGTTGGCTAGGAATCTTCATCACCTCTGTTTTATCTATGTTCACCTGAAGGAAGTCCTATCTTTGATGCTTCTTCTGCCAACTTGTTACTTTTCACTTGCATATCTTCCAGTTTGTGGGAAATCAGACATATATCATCGGCGAAATCCAGATCCTCCAAGTCTTTTGTATGAGTCCATTTTATGCCTGTTTCCTCATTGCCTGGCTCGCTGTCTGTCGCATTATCCAATCTACTGCAATCAGGAAGATCATTGGTGATAGTAGACAGCCTTGCCTCACTCCCGTCCTCACTTCGAAGGCTTCCGTAAGTTTCCCGTTTTGGATTACTTGGCATGCAGCATTGTCGTATAACTGTTGGATGAGGTGTATAATTGTCGATGGGACCCCGTAGTAGCGAAGTAGTTTCCAAATGACCTCTCGATCGACGCTGTCGAAGGCCTTTTCAAAGTCGATGAAGTTGAGATAGAGAGGTGACTGCCATTCCAAGCTTTGTTCAATGATGATCCGTAGAGTGGCGATTTGATCAATACATGTTGTGTACTTTTCCTAAATGCTGACAAGGCTCCTTGACATTTATTTCTTCAAGAAAAATCTGCAGAAATACTTAAAAATTAAACACGCATAGTATTTCCTTATTTCATGGCATAAACTTGATGCTTGCAGGCACATTCCATATCGATTTTGTATTAATAAAAAATTGTTGAGTAACATAATTATATACAGTTCAAATAATTATTTTGTCATTTTAAACAAATTTAATGGTTAATTATTGTGTTTACACTGATAACAATGTCTACATCTGAATAATTCTTATGTTGTTTTTTTCAGATAATATCTACCTTCGGGAATTTCAGGGATTTGGGTGATAAAGTAAAAGATGCCTGCACTGTTGTCGATTTTGTATTACATGTTAATTTATTAATAAATTTATTCTTCATTATTCGTTTGTTTATTCTACTTGATAAATACTAACTTCTAGCCTTTGCGTAAGTCGTGAGGTATGTAGTATATGACGTTATCTTAGAAATGCCAAGTAAGACTAGATAGATATTCGTAGGGGCTTATTGATAAAACGATTATGTCGCAACGTAATGAATTTACTACGTCCATAGTTAAAAGAAAACATTGAGATTATAAGCGCTTAGAGTTATATATCGTCTTAGTGGGAACCTATTAACGGACTTTGGATTCATAGTCACACAAGGCTAGTACGTTAAAATCTAATCGTTTAAACGTTTCGACAACAATTTCCGTAATTTAGAGTGAACAAGAGTTATTTTTATAGGAAAATTTATTTACGATTATCTCAAAAAATATGTACATAGATCAGTCCGAGTCTGACGATGTAGATGCCTGATCATCCGCCTGTCCACCAGCTTCAAGCAGATAATTGCACACGTAAAGAAACGCACTTCTACATATCCTAGGATGCGTCTGTTGAAGGTTTCTGATTTGATATATTATTCCTTGTATGAGCATCTCCATGTGCAAGTCCACCGCTGTTGTCGATTGCGATTGAATGATGATAGTGTGGTTGTAATATCGTAACCACCTGGTACTATGTCTAAATACATCTTTTACAAGATAACTGTAGGCCTATATGAACTTACCCAGACGTGTATATAAATGACATTTTGTATGAACAAGATGACGGCATGGCAAAAGCATATTTTTGTTTTGAAAACATGTGCAGTTGCAGTCATGTTTGTCCACAACGAAGTACCTTTCACCTTCTTCGAATACTACGTATGCTTCTGTGTAATCGATGACTTCATTTCTGGATGCCTCCTGATGCTTTTGTAAAGTGAGTAGGCGGCATAGCTTGTAAGCTGCCTCAAAATGCTAGAAAGGCCTTCGTCCACCTAAAAAATTTCAAGTTACAACTATTGCACTTACGTTAAAATGAATGTAGTAATGGAGGTTGCGATTTCCTTCTATAGCCTTTCTTCTTGATGACTCTATGGAACACTTCCATATCTCATGAATGCTCAATTCTAAGGGGAAGCACTTGCTTAGATGTGTCTTCAGGTGTTTATGGCAGCACTCAACTCTGTTATTTGTTTTGTTGCCAAGAGTGACAACGTCTTTCATATAACAGGCTGCCCACATATCACGACAACTCCATAAGTTGTTATTCATGTATGACATGGCTGCAGGATACTCCAACCGTAATAAATTCATTAGCTCACTAAACCTAGAGATGTGTTAACACAATCACTTAGTTACCTGCCGTTACTCGTTGTGTACACCATCTCTTTAAACATCTTTTTACAATTAGGATCACGGAACTTCAGGACGTTAGGTCATTAGTAATGTCGCTTACTTTGTTATTGAAGGCCCGGATGACATGAAATGCACATAATATGATGGAGCAGGCAGGGAACTCATTACGAATTGCACCTTGCTCTGCATGACTGTTGTCAATTACAAACGTGACAGTCTGCGATGTATCACCCATGATATTCTTAAAGGACCGTAATACTGCTTCAACGTCAACAAGTCTTTCACGATGAGTTATACTGTACATGACTGGGCAACTTCTGTTCATACCGTCTGTAACGACCAGTTGATATAGAGGATGACTGCAAGAGATTCGTTTAACATAAAAATATTACCCTTCCTTATTCGTATTGTAGGTTGAATCCATGCCCACAACCTCTGGAAATTTCTCATACACACTTATCATTTCCCTTGTTGCGAAACAAAACTTTTCCACACGTCGTCGACTGTCCAGCACGCACCATACTGAACCTGTGTCACGAATTTCACGGATCAGTGTGTCAATGTCTCACATTCCTATGCATACTGTTAACGCAATATGATAACTTACTAGGGTACACTAGTTCTCGGAAATTCCGATAATCATCGTAAGTCATCAGCTTGCCAAACTCAACATCAACCATATTCATTACTTGAGCAGGGGGGGGCGTTTCTTTCGACAAGAGGTAATATTTTCCTTTTTTCTTCTGAATTAAGTCTCCGAACTGTCGGCTCAACAGACAATAGAGGTTCTCTTGTCAATGCATGGTTGTGTCGAATATTGACAGGTTCGACCACTTTATATAGTCCAAATTCCAGCTTAAATCTGAAATTTGATGGACACCCTATGTACTTAGATCTTAAATATAAAGCTTAGGTAATTCACAGTACTCACTGTGATATTCTCAGGTGCTTGCTTTCTGATCGTCGACATCGACCAACATGACATAAAAATGAAACATACAAGTACTTGTAATCTGGATCAACCTCGTTATTTTCATCACGAGGAACCCGAGAGTCACGTATTTTATACAAGCTGCCGGTTCGCTACAATTAATAATGACAGGCCATTACTACAACTTGCATAAACCTATCACCTCTTGAAAACGACGTATACATTCTTCACATGCCTTCCAAGTCCTTAGAGTTTGGAAGCGAACTAATTCATTGAATTCAGTGGTTAAATCAACTGATATTTCATTAATTCCCTCTACCATGACTAATATGCATTACCAGTTATTCTAAAGAACAATTGAAATCACCTTAAAAAGTAAAAAACCAAACAAAACAGCCAATAATGTTTGCAAAATCCGCTACTAAGTCTTCTAGGTGATATCAAACAGACCAATCACAAGCTAGTAAATCACTTGTTTATCTCACTCGCGGGCACTCAAAATTACGGCCGTCGACAGGCTGTCTTATTTGTTTATCTTTCTGTTGATAAACACAAACGTCAATAGCGTGCGTGAGGGGAGAACAAACCGACCCACGATTGAAAATGTTATTGATTAAACAAACAGCGATAGTTTTGCACAAACCACTCTGAAAATGTAGACAAACTCACTGACTGACTGACTGTATGGCAAATTAGTGAAGACAATGACACAAATATTATGCCTATGTAACTACGTGATTGAAAAGTTAATTTGTTGTTAATTGTACGTGTTCTACTCACAAGATTTATAAGTAGTATATAGATGATGATATAAATATGTATACCAATTGTAGGATTATTGAATATCAGAGTGATAGATGGATGAATTTATTGGCGACGAGGAGAAATGCTTGGAGGATTCTCATGAAACAACACATGAAATGAAGACAAACTGAGCACAACACGGAAGACATGTGAAAACTGTCATCCTTATATATGATAGATATTGCGACTGTAAGAACAGTACTTGTGTACTGTGTTCGAGTATAATTCCACTATGGATAAAAAAATTTATTTTGATAAAGCCACACAGTGTTGTTATACAGTAATATTTAATGATGACCACTTATCGAGCACAATTTAATCGTCTCAAGGCACTGCTCACACACAACTTTCTTGTTTGGTTTATATACATGAGTAAAAGTTGATGATTAAACATTTGAGTAAAATCAATATAAGACTTTCGTGAAGGCTGTCTATTATCACCGATAAGATTCTTAATTGTATTGGACTGGACTATGCGTCAGACTGTTGAGGGCGAGGAATTAGGAATACGCTGGACCGTTCATAAGAAGACTCTAGAAGACATGCATTTCGCAGATGATGTATGTGTAATTGATATGTATCCACATGATGTGTGTTTTATTTTTGACAGTCTATTATATTTTGCTATGTGTATATGGATCGATATTTCATTATAACTGACAATATGCTTTTGTCTGTCCACTAACTAAATAAACATGTACAACCAATCATGTTATTATTATTATATTATTATTATTGTATCCTTTAGTTCCTAGAGGAACATAGGGCTTCAGCTGAGCACCTCCATTGCCTTCGGTTTTCTGACAACTTTTTCACCCTGCTCCAGGTCTGTCCACATGCTTTCATCTCTTCCTCGCATGACCTCCTCCAAGTCACCCTTGCACTGACGACCAACTCGCCGCCTCCCTTTCGGGTTCCACTCGAGCATGGCTTGTCTAGTGATGTCACTTGATGGTTTCCTCAGAGTATGGCCAGCATCCATCTCCATTTCTTCCTGCCTATTTGTTTCACAATCGGTTCCTGATTGGTTCGCTCCCAGAGATCCCTGTTGCTGATCTTTTCTGGCCATCTGATCTTGAGTATTGAGCGGAGACAGCTGTTAATGAAGGTGTGAAGTTTGTTTGAGATGCTCTTTATGACGCACTGGCCAAGTCTCTGATCCGTATAGTAGCACTGACTTTACATTGGAGTTGAAAATCCGGATGTTATTTTTGATGATGAGTGCTGTTGACGTGCACACAGACTTAAGAGTAATGAAAGCTTGTCTTGCTTTTCCGATTCTGGCTTTGATATCCTCGTCAGTTCCGCCCGTAGTTGAGACGATGCTTCCCAGGTAGGTGAAGGAGGTTGTTTCTTTCAGGTTCCTCCCATTTATGCTGATTGTTGTCTGTTGTTGTTGCTGCTGTTGATGTTGGCTAGGAATCTTCATCACCTCTGTTTTATCTATGTTCACTTGAAGTCCTATCTTTGATGCTTCTTCTGCCAACTTGTTACTTTTCACTTGCATATCTTCCACTTTATGGGAAATCAGACATATATCATCGGCGAAATCCAGATCCTCCAAGTCTTTTGTGTGAGTCCATTTTATGCCTGTTCCCTCGTTGATTGCCGTTGTCTGTCACATTATCCAATCAATTGCAATCAGGAAGATCATTGGTGATAGTAGACAGCCTTGCCTCACTCCCGTCCTCACTTCGAAGGCTTCCGTAAGTTTCCCGTTGTGGATTACTTGGCATGCAGCATTGTCGTATAACTGTTGGATGAGATGTATAATTGTCGATGGGACCCCGTAGTAGCGAAGTAGTTTCCAAATGACCTCTCGATCGACGCTGTCGAAGGCCTTTTCAAAGTCGATGAAGTTGAGGTGGAGAGGTGACTGCCATTCCAAGCTTTGTTCAATGATGATCCGTAGTGTGGCGATTTGATCAATACATGGCTTATTTCTCCTGAATCCGGCCTGTTCCGGTCGAAGTTTTTCATCCAGCTTGGCTTGTTTGATTCTCTCCAGGATGATGCGACTTAGTATCTTGCTTGGAATGGACAGAAGCATAATTCCACGCCAGTTTTTACATTGACTTAAGTCTCCTTTCTTTGGAAGTTTGAATAAGTATCCGTTCTTCCAATCCTCGGGTACTTTGCCCTCTTTCCACACCTTCTCCAGCAGTGGTGTCATCAAGTCCGCTGTTGTCTCTGGGTCTATTTTCAAAGCTTCTTCTGGGATTCCATCTGGTCCTGGTGTTTTCCCAGCTTTAAGCATCTTGATTGCATTCAGGACTTCTGATTTCGTCGGGGGGTCAGTGTTCACTGGTAGTTCTGCTTCCGTTGTTGGTATTGTTGGGCGCGTTGTAGGTGGCGGACGATTTAGAAGTCTTTTGAAGTGTTCAGCCCAGTGCTTTCTCTGTTCCACCTCTTTGGTGATTGACTTTCCATTGTCGTCCTTTATTGGCTTAATCATGTTAAGACTGGCTATTTATTGGTTCATGTGTATTAGTCATTTTCATATATACTTTTGTACTATATTCTTGTTCACACATGTTTTCGTACATCTAAATACCCTTCCACTGACACACTTGTTTGACATTTATTTTCCTTGTCTGGAAAATACAAGTATCATCGTAAACCTGGTGGTCTTCTGATTTCCCTCTTTCCTCGTCAGGACTATTAACAACTACTCGACGAGTACACAACATAATTGGCGACGGGGAAAACTACGATTAACCACTCAGCAACAGTACATAACAGTAATGTCATACAAACTCGAAGACATGGCGGCAGGTAACAACCAAAAAACTGGATGAAACGTCTGGCTGCTAACCAATCAACAGCAACAACAACAACAACCAGCACCAATCACCATCATTTGGGAGAGATTTAACAGAGGTTGCCTGCTTCACTTATCTGGTCAGGAAGAATCGTGCCAACTGCAGGTAGTCGGAATGGACGAAGATATCAAAGTCAGAAGAGAATCGGGAGAACAAAGCAGACCTTAATCCCTCTGAAACCAGTCTGGAAATCTTCTACACTCAGCCATTATATAGAAGATTCGGATTTTAAACAACATTGTCAAATCGATTCTTCTATACGAGTCAGCAACTTGCACTGTGTGTCAGTCACGAAAAGGATTTCCAACAGTTAGTGGCTGACTTTCATCAACAGATAACTTCTTTGGCTGTTTCCATACAGAAGATCAAATGGTCAGTTAGAAAGAATAAGCAACAAGAAACTCTGGCTGTTTCAGAACAAACCAACAGGCAAGAGTCGATCACTCAAAAAATATGTAGGAGAAAATGGAGATGCATTGATCGGGCATACATTGAGGAGGCCGCTGAATGACATCGTACGCAATACAGGCCATTGCTCAAGTGGCATCTGAACGGGAAGCGACGAATGGGTTGTCAGTGTGACAGTGACATAGAGGAGATCTTGTGAGGAAGAGATGAGAGAGGTTTTGTCAGTCGTGGACCCTGCTGAAGTGGATGGCAGGAAACGGAACAAAGTAGAGACGTGTTGTTGAAGCCCTATGTACCACTTGGAACTCAAAGGAATAATAATAATAATAGTAATAATAATAATAATAAAGACTTGCGTAAAACAGAAAGTAAGATAGGAGTACATTCGGAACCACTATTAGTGTTATCAATAAATATAATACGATGGGAATTAAGACGAGTGTTATTAGTTAATCAGATGGGAAATAAGATGCTTTTCTAGTA